TTTTCTTTTTTTTTTTTTTTTATATCATCCCTTCGCCTTTTCATGAGACACTTCCAAACCTACGTACCTGTCCTTCTGCAGGATAGTAGCCCTGCCCTGAATCCGATCCCACCACCGGGCACTGGGAAGAGTTTAGCATAAGGATTTCTTTTAAAACCCAATATGACAGTTGCTACCGGAGATCCTGCAGATGAAGCTGCAGCTCTTCCCGGTCACCCGCAGGACACGTATAACCCTGAGACCGACCATGAATGCTGCGAGAGGGTGGTCATTAATATTTCGGGTCTGCGCTTTGAGACACAGCTCAAGACACTAGCCCAGTTTCCAGAGACCTTACTAGGGGATCCTAAAAAGAGAATGAGGTATTTTGACCCGCTCCGGAATGAGTATTTCTTTGATCGGAACAGACCCAGCTTCGATGCAATTTTGTACTATTACCAGTCTGGTGGGAGGTTGCGGAGGCCGGTTAATGTGCCCTTAGATATCTTCTCGGAAGAGATTCGTTTCTATGAACTGGGGGAAGAAGCGATGGAGATGTTTCGGGAGGATGAAGGCTACATCAAAGAAGAGGAAAGACCGTTGCCTGAGAACGAGTTTCAGAGACAAGTGTGGTTGCTCTTTGAGTACCCTGAGAGCTCAGGCCCTGCCAGGATTATAGCTATTGTCTCTGTCATGGTGATTTTGATCTCCATCGTCAGCTTTTGCCTGGAAACTTTGCCCATTTTTCGGGATGAGAACGAAGACATGCACGGCAGTGGGCTGAGCCATCCCCCCTACTCCAACAGCAGTATGGGGTACCAGCAGTCCACCTCTTTCACAGACCCCTTCTTCATTGTGGAGACACTTTGCATCATCTGGTTCTCCTTCGAGTTCTTGGTGAGGTTTTTCGCCTGCCCCAGCAAGGCTGGATTTTTTACCAACATCATGAACATTATAGACATCGTAGCCATCATTCCCTATTTCATCACCTTGGGGACAGAGCTGGCTGAGAAGCCGGAGGACGGTCAGCAAGGCCAGCAAGCCATGTCCTTGGCCATCCTTCGAGTCATCCGCTTGGTGCGGGTCTTCAGGATCTTCAAACTCTCCCGACACTCCAAGGGGCTGCAGATCCTGGGGCAGACTCTCAAGGCCAGCATGCGGGAGCTGGGCCTCTTGATATTTTTCCTCTTCATCGGCGTCATCCTCTTCTCCAGCGCCGTCTACTTTGCTGAGGCCGACGAGAGCGAGTCCCAGTTCCCGAGCATCCCCGATGCCTTCTGGTGGGCCGTGGTTTCCATGACGACTGTTGGCTACGGAGACATGGTCCCCACAACCATTGGGGGGAAAATAGTGGGTTCCTTGTGTGCCATCGCTGGCGTATTAACGATTGCCTTACCAGTGCCCGTCATAGTGTCTAACTTCAATTACTTCTACCACCGGGAGACGGAGGGAGAGGAGCAGGCTCAATATTTGCAAGTAACCAGCTGCCCAAAGATCCCCTCTTCCCCTGACCTAAAGAAAAGCAGAAGTGCCTCTACTATTAGTAAGTCTGATTATATGGAGATTCAGGAAGGCGTAAACAATAGCAATGAGGATTTTAGGGAGGAGAACTTGAAGACAGCCAATTGCACCCTAGCTAACACAAACTATGTGAATATCACCAAAATGCTAACCGATGTCTAGTCGCTAAAATCTAGTAACATATTTAAAGCTGAAGTGGAACAATTGCAGATATTGAGTGCTGCTCTGCATTGTAGTTAATACAGTATTTTCTACGGTGTATATTTGGTTCTGCATGGGAAGCAATAGCTGTGTAAGTGACTTTTAACCTTTGATTTCCACACTGAATAAGCGTTCGTGCAAAAAAAAAAAAACCAAACAACAAAACCCCAACCAACAAACCATTTTGATTCCCTTCTCCCATCCCAGGCTTGCGGGTTTCCAAAGATGCGGAGTGGTTGGGCATTTCGAGCAATGGGATGGGGATGCAGGGGGCAGCTCTGGGCCATCCTGGGGTACCACGAATGCTGGTCCCTGTCTCATGGAGCCGGGTGATCGCCAGCTTCCAGGCGTGGGGAATGGCTGGGAAAGGTCAGGCAGAGCTTAATGAAGGGAAGATGCAGTCGTGTGTCCGAACTGCTTGAAGGCTCAGGTTTCCGCCCCGGGAATGCCAAGTGCGAACGCATCGCCCAGGCTCATGTTTCATAACTGAAAATGCTGCATGCTGCAATAGTTTCAGCCACTGCAGTATGCCAGTGTGAGGCCCAGGGGAGGGATAATTAGTATGACGGCACATTATTTATTAAGTCTTAAATTTTCTATGCTAGGCATCGGGAGGGACGAGTAAATAAATCAAGAGCTTGGATTTTATTTATTTATTTAGGTGACACTTCCATTACCAATATTTCCAGGATCACCAAAGACACCTCCACTGACACATTGAAAATGAGTTGGAAAAAGCATCTTTTTTAATATCTATATATAAAACTGGAGCAACTATGCTGTGGCCTATAATATATTTATACTGCAGTGAAATTTAACCAGTAATACAGTACAGCTGCATGGATATTTGTTGCATGAATCTGAATATTTAATACACACACAAATATATATTTTCTTAGTAGACTATACAATATTCATGTTTATAGTGTTTATAGATTCTCCAGTGGCTCGAAGGAGATTCATGGGAGTTAAAAAAATCTCCATTATATTTAAAAACTGGATGGGGAAGGCATGTGCTGACAGCAGTTTGATAGATAACAAGGCAAAGCCTGAGTGTCCGAGCATCCAGACACGAGAGCCCACTAATGCAAGCGAGGGAAGGTGAGCTGAAAGTTAAACACCTGCGCTCATTATGGGGCAAGTAATTAGTCATTAATCTTGGTGTCATGAGCAGAAACCACAGTGGAGCAGAGGGGGCACGAGGAGCAGGTGGAATAGCAGGTACTGGCTCTCCTGACTTGTTTGTTCAGCAATTTTCAGCCGTTTCCCATATAATTATCGTGTGTGTGTATATAGATATTTAGAGAGCGACTATAGGGCCGGATCCTCAGCAAACGTGAGCACCTGGGGCAGTGGGGGCTTCCTGGCTCGGGGGTGCCGGGATGGTGGGACATGGCCTGGAGCAGGATGACCTGCCCCTCAGTGCCCATGGGATCACCAGGGCAGGGTGCATTCGGGGCTGGAAAACTTCTTTTCAACCATGTAGAGCCTCAGGGCTGGTGGTTTATTCCTTTACGATGGAGAGGGCACATGCTGAGGGCAGGCTGGATCCGAGCTGGTGCCTCTGAGCCTTTGCTTTGCCTTCGTCCAGGGTTTTTAGGAGGAGTGAGACGCTGAGGCTGTCTCTTCTTCTTCTTCATCCTCGGTGTTATTTGGGGATAGGTGGGAGCTGTCAGTCCAAGGGGATCTCATCTGCTTTCCCCACCTCCATCTGGATTCCTTGTGTTTTCCCCCCATTGCTGACAACCCCTGGGGATGGGCGCCCTGTTCCTCTGCCACATCAGGGGAGGGGGATGCAAACCTCTTCCGAGGCCATGGTCAAGCAAAGCCTCCCTTTGGGGAGGATATGGGATGGGGTTTAGCAGCCTGTTGAGTTGGGGTGAATTTGGGCTGGACTGGGACACAGTCAGTGCTGTACTGCTGTGGTGAAGTGTGGGCACAAGGAGGGAACCCCATTGCAGAGCATGCGAGGGAGGGCAGTCAGAGCCTTCCTGAGCTCAGAGAGGAAAACCATACTAATAACAATAAAACAAACGGTGCTAGCGTATTCTACAGCAATGGTTCAAAATGCTGCTTTAGGGACAGATCCACCTCTCGTGCTGATGTGACTCCCCTTGGCCAGGTGGAATCACTCCTCATTTGTATTTTATTGATTGATTAATTCAGGCCTGGCTATAATTAACACCAAGTGTCCATGGTTAATGCACGAGAGTCTTGGCTTCTGCTTGGTGCAGAGGACCAGCAGCATCCATGCGTTGGGTCTCCAAGGTGCTCAGCACCATGGGACCCCAGACTGTCTTTAATTACACCTTGCTATATTAGGAGCCCTCTCCTCCTTCTCTGCTGCTGCAGCTCTGAAACGGGAGCCCCAGAATCCCATTAACATCTTAAAACATGCGCAAAAAGAAGCAACGCAACTGAAAGCAATAACTCTCTGCTTCTGAAGCTCATCCCATTGAACGGGATGGGGCTGGCATGAGCCACCAACTCGGGCGTGATTCCCGGGGCGGCCGGCCAGCTTCCATTGATCCGGCTTGTGGTGGGTCCGTGGGGACGTGAGCTTGCATGGGGAGGCTGCCTGAGGCACTGGGATTCTGCCTGCCCACCCATGGGTGCCCCTAGCACTGGGTGACCCCATCCCTGGCGTGTGGGAAGGCACCGAGGCCGAGGGGAGGCTGCTGCAGGGTTTTTTGGGATGATGCCGGCACTCAACGAGACTTTGCAAAGTGCCTGGTTGGTTAATGCCTGTGGGCTTCAGATGATTTGGGGGGAGCATTTTGCCAAAGTACTGGGTACATCTTGGGAGCGTGAACGCCACTGTGGTTCAATGAGGAGGAAGATCATGGGGGTTTGGGAGAGGTGTTGGTTTTGGCACAGTGTCCCTGCAGGCTTTCTGAGGCCAGGCAAGGGGGGAGAACGGGTCCACGAGCAGGATCAGGCACATCCGAACCCACTCACCAAGCTGGGGGTCCTGGCTGCCTTGGGAAGCCTCAGAGCTGCATCACGGGGGTGAACAGGGCCAGAGAGTAAGAGCTCACGTTCCTCCTGTTGCCTCCAATGTGAGCTGGCACCTGTCCCCATGGCAGGGGCCAGCACGGCCAGTCCCTTCCTTAGGACAGATCCTGCACCTCTTGCATTGACCCAGGCAGATGTTCCTGGGGAAAATGAGCTGTGGGGGGAGAGCATGGGCTGCCCTTGGCACCATGTTTGGTAAACAGGGAAAACACCCAGATAAGTGCTTGGATGCTTGTTTCAGGGCAAAAAATGTCCGTGGGGGCTGTGGCTGGAAGCGCTCCATCAGGCTGCATACCGCAGAAGGGTCCAGGTTTCTCCCCCGCACAGAGAAATGGTTCCCCTATAGCTTTTAATGGGATTTGTGCCTGCAGGTCGGAGCTCTAGTGCTATTTCTAGCTTTGCTTCTGACTCACTGATGTGATCTTGAACCAGTTTTTCAGGAGGAGACTGTGATTCTTTTTTTTCTTTTTTTTTCTCTTTTTCTTGAGGAATGTAGTTTGAGAGACTCTGGGCCTGTTTCTGCAGAGATGCTGAACATCCATAACTCCCCTTGACTCTGAAAGGGTGCAAAAATGAGCTGCAAAGTGGCTCAGACTGAGGATGCTAAATTAGGGACTGAGGAAGGGGAGGATCCCACCATCTATGTTAGATTCCAACCGGCCACCTAACGTAGGTGGTCTGGTTCCTCTCCTCCTCCTCCTGCGGAGATGTTTGCCTCTCTCCAGGGGTGGGATGGGGCACTGAAGCTCTCCGGTCTGTGGACGTGCTCCTGGGTTGGCACCCAGAGGAGACAGCAGCTGTATTTTACTTTTAACCTTCGCGCCATGGTTTTGGAGAGACGGAAAGTGGTGATTTCAGTGCAGGTTGTCGTCTAACACCCAACCACATGCCCAAGCCTGCAAGCAACCCATCAGTCCTTCCCAAATCACTGCTAAGGGCAGTGGGGTGAGGCTCATATACTGGCTGGATACCACCGAGTGATTAGGGCTGCTAGGAAAAAATTATCTGTATGGGGCCATGTGTTTTATTGGGAAAACTAATCTCTGCGGCAATGTTTTGTGTCAAAGTCCTACAGATTTGAATACTGAGCTATATGAACAAAAGGATCTCTAGATCGGCGTTATGAGAGTGTAGCACGTGGGTGTATAAATATGGGCATATTTGTGCATAAATACACAGAAGGAGAGAAAAAGACAGAGAAGGAGGAGGTATTTCAGGAAGGGCCTTGCTTTGTTATCAGATAATTCCTGGGTCAGCCCTTGAAATTGCGGCCAAAGTTTTGTAGCTTTTCCAGAGCTTGCAGCACAGCTAGAGCCGGGCCCAAGCGCAGAAGGAGATCTGGATCTGGCCTTGGCAGTGGGAGCGCCCCGAGGGGCTGGTGGCATTTGGCTCCACGCATCCCTCTGCAAACTGGCAGCTTCGCAGCATCTCTGCTCTCGATCCCAAATCCTTGGTTTAGGCCCGTCATGACCGTTTCTGTGACTGTGCAGGGAAAACCAAGCAGAAGTTGAAGGGATTTGTTTGCGATGCAAGCCCTGTGCTCCACTGAGTGGGGAGGATTTCATGGTGGGTTGGTTTTTCTTTGTAATGGCTGGATTTTAAGTCCCTTGAACCATGTTGGCTTCTAGGGTGGCGGTGAGAAGCATCTCCCACTTTTGGAGCTGGGGTGGGTTTATCTTGAAGTCTACATCCATGGGGGTGTCCCAGGGGTTTCTTCTGTCAGTGGGAGCTGGTCAGCGTAGGGTTAAAGGGGCTGGAGGGTGAGGAAAGGAGTCAACCCCAAACCATTTCATTTTGCGCACAAAAAATAACTGTGGCTCCCTCCTCACACCCCTGGCAGCATTTGACCTCCTCTGCATCCAGCGCATCCCCCGGTCCCTCCTGTTGGGGACCAGCTGCTTTCCCCCACCAGGAGCCCCAGGGAAGGAGATGGTCCCCCCCTGCACCAGCCACTGTCCTGCCTCTGGCCAAAGCAATGCCCTCCCCCAGCCCCCGTGTGTGAACCTCAGTCTCCCCGTGGCCTTGGTCTTCCCATGATGTTACTGCATCTGGCTGCCCAGATTTCATCCCCCCTTCTCAGAAATGGCTGCTCCGGTCCTGCCACATCCCATCGCGAGGGAGAGGGACCAGCCTCCAGTGGTGCAAATCAGCCCCGAGAGCACAGCACTGATTTACACCTGGGGAAAAGATCCCCCAGCCCTATTGTATGTGATGAGAGAGAAATTCTTTATCCATGTGTTTCCTCGGGGGTGGGGGGAATGGTTTGGCTTGTAGGAGCTGCTGGACATCATGTAACCACACCAGAACCAGCCCTGCCTGGCTGTCCTGAGCTCGGGGTTGGTCTTTTGGGGTTTGCTTTATTTTTTTTTTTAATATTTTTATTTTTTTAATTCTTCTGCTGCCTATAAGACTGTAATTATCCATTTGCACTTGCTCCCTCATTGCTTGAGACTGCACTCTTGTCCTCCAATGTCATACGCCGAAGCACAAGGGGAAAAAATGGGTATTGGATCAACCCTGCGTGCGGTGCCTAATTTGAGTGAATCAATAGGAAAAGGAAATCCAAGAAGGACTCATCCTAAGGATGCTGGAGCTGAACCTTTTGTTTCCATGGTTACGGGAGAAATGGGACCAGAAATGGAGAGAGGCCTATAGACTGTTAAAGGAGGACTCGTGGGAATTTCAAGTCATTTAACCATGCGTTTGCTAGACAAAAATTTAGACACCAGCTGTATCCGAATTGCACAGTGTGTATAGACGTTACTGCTCTTATTGACGACGCGGGGGTGTCCTGGGGGTCGGGTGGATCTACGGGCTGAGGGGCACCTGAGTCAATAAGGCTGACCGTTGTATATAGGTATACAGATCTGTGTACATACGTATTCCAAATGAGCATTTGCTGTCTGGTTTATCATGAGTGTATATAATTTATTCTTCAGAGTATCACAATTTTTGTAAATATCGGCACTAATTAAGAGAAAATAAATATGTATATTATTGAGGACTTATTTTGATAGCAGTTCTGTGGAGGGTGGGGAAGGAAAAGACAAGCAACTATATTTTTGGTCGTCTGGGTATTTTTTTTCTGTACTTCTAAACCTTCTGTGAGAAAAGAAAGTAACAGCTTGAACCGTGGAAAAAATCAGTTTGTGCTCCACCATCAGCTGGTCTGCAGGGTCTGCTGGAGATGGAAGCCCCCTGGGAGGAGCTGATGGGTCTCGGTGTTGGGCAAGGATGGACATGCTGTGTGGTGTGTACGGGATCCCCCGTGGGATTTACTCCAGAAAAATTCCAGCAGCAATGCGGGTGGAGGGGAAGGGGCTGGAGACGGGGTCAAACCCATGTTCCCCATCGTTCTCCACTCCACCAACTTGGATGTCAGCCGCGCCTGTGAAGGTAACGGGGAATGGGTGGTGCTGGGGGATAAACCTGCTCTCAGGAAACCTCATGGACACCCAATTGGTATTTTTTTAAGCTGGTGATCTCTCTTGGAAGAGGGAGAAGCAAAGAGGCAGGGACAGTGCTAGTAGCACATCCTCTGTGGGGTTCCAAACCTCATGTCCCAGAGACGTTTCCTAGTAAGACCTCCGGCAGGGAACAGGGAAAAACTCTCCGGGATGGCCTCAAACCTTCTTGCAGAGGAACGGTTTGTTTGCTCCACCCCCAGGGATCAACTGTAGCACTATTTTCTCCTGCTGTTTTGCCTTCTCCTCTCCTGTGAGTGTCTTGGAGCAGCAAAGGGCACTGGGGGCACTTGGTACTTGTGTTTTGAGGTCTGATCTCTTGCTTGGTGATTTTCACAGGCAACACCGCTGCTCTGAGCTTCCCTTCTTGCAGATAGAGCCGAGGTAGCCACCTGCTCTGTGCTCTCAGCATGGAGAGTAAAACCTAAGGAGAGATCCTTCTCCCATGGCATGGGTTGGGCCTGCTCAGCTCTGGGAAGTGGCACCACCTTCTAACCCAAGGCTTAGCACAGCCACCCCCAAATCCCCTCGTATTGGTCATGGAGGAGCCCCTGGCGTGGGCTCAGAGTCAGAGTCCTCAGGTTCAGGTGTCACCTGTGCCAGCAAGGCCACTGCATGACCCAGGGGATGTCATGTCCCATTCTGTGCCTCAGTTTCCCTATCTGTAACACAGCTTGCCGAGCTGTCTCCAAGGACCCAGGAAACTGCAAAGCTTGGCTCAATATTGGGACAATGAAAATGCAACCCGTAGATGATGTTGTTAGGAAGAGAGGAAGTATTTAAGAGCAGCCAGTTCTGAATATCTAAGTGTGGAAAACCATGTGAGTGCACAGAAATTACCATAAGTATTTATGAGCAATGCATCCTGAGCTAAATGTCACAGTATTTGCTATAATGCTGAGTGGAAGCCATCCCCAAACTGGGCCAATTTGTGTTCCTCAGCCCCATTTCCAAGCTCAGAAGAATCTCCAGCCGGCTTCAGCAGATGCCAATCCCTTCCCTTATCTGCGTCCCGCTAGCTTGTGGGTTCCTAAATATCTAAACACAAAGTGGTACAAGGAGTTTGCAGAATAGTCTGCTCTGCACAGGCTCTTCAAAGAGATGGCAGGAGGAGGCTGCAAGGCAGATACAGTAATTATTTTAAATTGCCAGTCTATCAGCGTGCTGCACCATCCTGGCCGTGCTTGGAGGATGCGGGAGATGCCATCAGGGGTGTTGAATCCTCCTTCCAGCTGAGCTGCTTGCGCTTTTACACTGTTCAAAGAGATGAGGAGACGGAGAGAAGAATTACACCATCCAACACGGAGCCCTCCCTGCGCTTGGGCAGCCCTTTTGGCCCCGCGACCGGCAGCTCCCAGCCTGTGATCCCGACTGCGGTGAGAGGCTGATCCCTGCTGAGCGCAGCCTGGCTGGTTATGCCTGTGCTAAATGACCTACTTTTCTCCACTTTCTTTGCTGAGTGTTGCCTCTCTGCCAGGCGAAACCCCATGAAGCCCCTCGCGGATCCGCTCCGGAGCTCATAAATTAAAGAGACCTCTGGAAGCAGGATGTACCTTCAGCTTCTGGCTTGCGGGTCTTGCTGAGAATATGGAGCGTTGGTCCATCGTGACAGGATAGTGCCAGCTATAAGAAACGGACAGATCACAAGGCTGAGTGGGCTGTTATAAAGTGAAGTGTCCTTTTTAATATTTGTTCTTTATGCTCCTGTCTTGCTCTCACCCACGTGCGTGTGGGTATTCATTTTTCAGATAAGCTCCATGCTTCATCCCAGGTTTTCTTCTATCCCCAGGTACAAAGTACGTATCACCCTCATGATATAAACCCTTAACTCTGCTGGAATTATTCCTCAGTCCTCTATATAAAACCCCATTTTCCATACCTGGTTTATCTCTGCAGTCAAATGTTATGGGCTCCTGGCTTAGAATTACCAGTGATGCTTTTTGTCATGGGGACGACCGTGCTGAATGCCTTTGAAAAAGCTCCTCGCCCTCCTGAGGGGCTCCGGCCCTCAAGATCCTGCTCATTTACCCTGAGGAAGCAAAAGATTCAAGTGCCAAGAAAGCACTACCTCTGTTACTTGTCCTGGAAAGCTCAGGATGCTCAAACCCCATTATAGCCCATCGTGTGTGCCCCAGGGACAAGCGGGAATTTTTAGCCCTCCGGGTTGCCTGTTAGCGAGTCCGCTTCCATTTGGCAAAGTGGGCCCTTGGATCCTGAAAGCACCTCCCCGACCAGAGCTGCGAAGAGGCCATTAAGTAAAATGCTGAGAGCGGGGAAGGGAAAACGATCCCACACTCAGGATGCTACCGCCCTCCGGGTGATGCTCTGTGGATGCCCGGGGCGGTGGGGCTGAACCTGGAGCTGATGCAGAGTCAAACCATCGCTGTAGCCTCAACCAAGCATCTACGTGCAAAGAATTTGCAAGGGTGGGTGTGTGAAGTGGGGCCCCCACAGCCTATCTTTAGGTAACCTCTAGGCAAAGGTTCGGCACTTGCAGAGCTCGCGCTGAGATGCACATTTATCCTGCAGCTCTGGAAATCAGGCCAGGTCCCTCTTTCTCCTTCCCACTTTCTCTTACTCCTTCTTCCTCCCTCCTTTGCATTTGTGCTGGGTGTTGAAAAACCTATTCCTGGGAGCAGTGCTTCTCATCTGCACCTCGGCACAGTGCACAGGGCAGGAGAAGGGGAGCTTTAGGCAGATGAGAGAGGTATCTGGGTGTGCTAAAGAAACAAATCCGTGCTTTTACAGATGCAGAATTGAGTCTGGTGAGGCCCTGGATTTACAGATCATTAGGGCAGACAAAATAACAAGGGGTGATCCAAGGACTAAAGCCAGGTCTAAAGCCAATATTTGGAGCTACCACAATATTTAGGCCCCTTGCTCCAACGTTACCCTGAATTCACGAGGAAAGTAAACGCTCAGCTGCCTCTCTCAGCCTGGCATGCTGAGGTCCTGCTTGGACATCACATTGCCCTGTGCCTCTCTATGCTGGGGAGATGCAGAAAGAGCCATGGTGAGACTGCCTCAGCTTTTTATCCTTAAAAATGGTGGGAAGATCTGGGTCCGGGGTGTCTGGGAGATTTCCCAGAGGCTCAGCAGAAGGTTTAACCCCCTCCTGCTCTCTCTGGCTTGCTGTCGCTGGGGCAAAGCTTGCTCACTGACCTAGGTGGGCACAGATGGGAGCATTGATCCAAGCCAGCATTGCAGGATGCTCCACAGACGAATCTTGGGGAGGTTACTGGTTTGAAGGGTGACTTGCTGAGTTTAGAGGGACCCAAAGGGATCAGGCACCGCAGCCTCAGGGTTAGCAGAGAAATGGCAGGGCTGGCAAGAACCTGTGTGTGGAGTTTGTTTTGCTGCTGCTTTAATGCAGCCAAAATCAGCTCCTGGCAAGAGCAGCGCTGGGGTTTGGGGAGCCAGAGATGCCAAGGTCATCCTGCTCTTCGCATCTGCACAGAGATCAGCTGGGCACAATCCACCCACTGCCCCTGCACCCACCGCAACCTCCCTCCCACCGTCACCTCTCCGCTCGGCAGGCACCAGGCCCCAAGGACATGTTGTTTTACGCAGAGAGGTAAAGGTGGGGGGCCAGCAAGAGAAGCAGAACAAATCTATTCTGCCAGGCACCTGCTCCCTGCCTCACAAAAAAAAAAAAAAAAAATGCCACCGGCCTTTTCCGCTTAAGCGTGGGGTTGTCTTCCACAGTCCTTTTATCCTTGGCTAATTAAAGGCAAATCTCAGCCGAAGGAACACAGTTCTTCGTAGCTGAGCCTTAATAACTAGAAAGTGGCTGCAAATGCTGGGATGCAGCTGCAGAAATCCTGGGCAGAAATAGCATTTTTATCTTGCAGCTTACCAGCTTTGGCTCTGGGGATAATACATTTCTGAGTTGTAGAAGGAGGCAACAGCAGATAGAGCCCCATCTTGTCTGAGTTTACAGAAGGATCAGTTGGATGGACCAACTAAACTCCCAAGTCATCCCTGGGGAGGACCTTGGAGATGACTTGGCCATGGTGAGGTCCACTAATCCCCAGGGATGCTGTGGGGAACAGCTTGGGTGACTTGAGCAAACGAAGGTGTCTGCTGGTCTCTGGGTAGGTGGTTCTAGGTGCAAGACCTCTCATCCCCCAAGAGGCGTCTACAGGCAGATGGATCCAGCTGGACAGGACATGACCCTAGTCCAGCTGCTGTAGAAGTTGAGGGAGGCTGGTCCCATGTCCCTGATGTTTGGTGAGATCGTTGAGATGGGTCCTGGGGAGCCTAAAACCAGGTGGAAAGGGCAGAGGGAAGATAGACCACGGCACTTGCCTTCCCATTTTGCTGCGGCTGCTCTCCCTGCCAGTACTGCACAGTGGAAGGGCTTTGCTCCAAACCTCATGTTTTATCCCCGTGGGAGGGCTGAGCTGGCTTAGGGGAAAGGAGCAGGGATGGAAGCTGTTTCTCCAGCTTCAGCTGTCTAAACCCAAGCAGCCTGGTCTGCTGGGGTGTCCTGGGGCTCAACACACCCAACGGAAAGACTGGCACCTGCAAGGGATGCAGG